CTTCAAAATAAGGGTGACATCTTATAATACCGAAAAATACGGTATATTAAACATCTATATATGTAATATCTATAATAATACAGGTTCTATGGACATCATGAACGATTTATTAGAACAGCAAACAAGTTTGTCAGACACATGTAGAAAGGTGTGTAATTCAGCATTTCACCTATCACAACAAAACCTTACTAAAATATAACATCAAATTATTATAAATAGCGCATGTAACCTTATATCAGTTCATATTAAACATTCAGTACTTGGTTGGTCATCCTTGTACTCTAATAACCTCCACAAGGCGCGATGTAGCATGCTGTCGATGAGGTTATTGATATAATCCACCGTGATTTCATCCCAATTTGTCACTAGAAGGTGCTGCAACACAGCTACAGTAGCTGGTTTAGGGTCGTGGTTATCAATGTTCCGGCTCAGTTCTGCCCAACAGTTCTCAATGGGATTACAATATGAATACTTTTCTGGCCATAGCAATGTTTTAACACCCTCCTAGACAAGATATTCATTTACAATAAGTGCACTGTGGGCAGTGGTATTGTAATCCTGGAACACAATGTTATTGCCAAACCTTGCCCTAGCATATAGCAGAAATATCGTCTCCATTTGATGCCTGTAGGAGGCGCCATTGACTTTTCCCTGAAGGATATGAAGAGCAGTTTTTCCATCGTAATGAATAGCTGCCAAAACATGTACTGCACCACCTGCTGTGGGAAATCCAGTCTTCCCTCATCTGTTCTCCAGGCAAACGACGAACACGAAACCTACCATCAGTTGACTTGCCCAAGTAACATGGTGACGGCTATGAATTCTGATTAATATCGGTTTGCAGATAGCCTTTCTTGCAAAATAACCTTGTTTGGTTAGTCTCGTATTCACTGTTCTTCTGGACACCCAGAAATGAACGTGTTCATGCCATTCCTGTCGTAAGATGTTGCGAGACTTCTTTCGACCTTGACGTGTTTACCTGATCAAAACATGGTCATCTTGGGCAGTAGTTTTCCGGCGTTTACCAGTAGACTTTCCTGGAACAATGTTTCCTTTAAGTCCGATGACGTTTCAGGATTCTGGATACAGTACACTGGGAGTACCCTACTGTTCAGGCGATGTCCATTTGCTTCACACCATTTCTAGACAGTCTAACAAGTTGATGCCCTATAGCTTCTGGCACATGACGAGGCATGACTCTACACCAAGTACAGATAAATTGTCTGAACAACGTATTGATCTGTTTTGATAAAGGTTATATCAAAAGCACACTCTTTATACAAAACAGGTGTGTATATGTGTTTTGAGGAACAACTTATACAGACCGGAATAACAACTTGTACATGTTTGCTTTGTTTGATTATATGCTAACTTCTCTGTTACTACTCGGTAACTACTACATGCGTGTAGACAATAACATCAATATAGAACAGTATGTAAACATTTCGGCCAATACTATAGTACACAACAGTTACAGCAATTAATACAGTTAATTTGATATTTGACATAAACTATGCCCCCAGTGGCACAGCGATATGTCTGCGTATTTACAACGCAATAAACCGGATTTCGATATCCGTGATGGGCAGTGCATAAATAGCCCATTGTGTAGCTCTGTGCTTAATTACAAACGAATACGAATTCATAAACTTGTACCAATCAGAATGCGTTGCTTCATCAACTTGGTACCCTCACTGTATGGCCGTGTTTTCGGCCGTAATCCAAATAATACCCCATGTGGTTCGGCCAGGTCAGGAGATATAGGTTAGTCATAAAAATTTACTAAGCTAACAATGCAAATAATCCTTATAATAAAAATAAACAAAGTGAATAAATTAACCATTTGAACTATTACTTTTAGTGAAACTAGCATTAAAGAAAGAAAGGCATCTAATATTAGTTACAAAATATAAAACTAGTATTGTTAAAGAAAGAAAGGCATCTAATATTAGTTACAAAATATAAAACTAGTACTGTTAAAGAAAGACATCTATTATTAGTTACAAAATATAAAACTAGTATTGTTAAAGAAAGACATCTAATATTAGTTACAAAATATAAAACTAGTATTGTTAAAGAAAGACATCTATTATTAGTTACAAAATATAAAACTAGTATTGTTAAAGAAAGACATCTATTATTAGTTACAAAATATAAAACTAGTATTTCAAGAACTATTGTTGGTTTCCTTGCATTGTTTGAATGGCTTCTGAAGACTTGTTTTATTAGCTAATTACTTTGATAATGCTATATTTGTATATAAAGAACAAGGCATCTCAGTACATGACGTCGGTATTTAAGGGTTAACCTTATTCCTTGATTAAAAATATATAATAGTACATAGAACAAATGATATCATAACTAAAATTAACGCTTCATCGAAATTTCTAGATCTTTCAAATGACCAGAAATCATTGAAATATTATTTTGATTTCTTGTACTGGAATAATACTTATTCCAAACACTACTCATCTTTCA